ACATGTCCCCAATAGATAGGGGGTCTCTTTCGAAGCAGCCAAATCAAAGGATCGTTGAGCGGACAGGCTCAGGCGGGTTCTCCGTTTTGGACGCCACCATGCCCAAATTCCCAAAATCAATTTTCTCTCTTAAATTTGGCTGTTTTTTGCAAGAATTCTAGCCGGAACTGACCAGTCAAAGGTTTCCGTTTTGGACGCCACGATGCTCAAATTCCCAAAATCAATTTTCTCTCTTAAATTTGGCTCTTAAACTTAAACGGTTTTTTGCAAGAATTCTAGCCCGAACTGACCAGTCAAAGATTTCCTTTCTTACTCAACCGTTCTTTTTCACAACCATTTTTCAATTCCACCTTGTTTTTGATTGCTTTTCAAAAATCTCTCCATTCTCTGATTCAAAAAAACTGGAAACAGATCAATATAGAAAGATTTTAGAGAAAAAAAATCTAAAAATTAACCACTCTTTAACCACAAAATTAAAATTAATCACAATACTCAAAAAAAGTAAAATAAAAATAATTTCAGCTAGCTAAAGTTTTATCTACAACTACAAATCGCTTTTAAAAGTCTAAAAATGAGTTTTTTTCTTCAAACTTTATCCAACCTCAATCATTATCCATCGTTTTTTTTTCCTCTTTGACTAAGAAAACTCTTTTACTGAAAATAAAGGGGTCGGAGGGAAAGGAGAGATTTTTTTTTTGCACTGCCAAGAGGTCGGTTGTAAAATGTCGAACTTTTCTCTGTTATTTCTCTGACCTTCATCACACTAAATACTTTTTCACTAAGCCCATTAGCCAGTCTTTTTCAGTGAAAATATGCAATAGCATTTTGAAATTGTAAATCTAAATTCGAAAACGATTTCCAGCCTTTTAAATCCTTGAAAATTGTCAATTTTTCGTTAAATTCCATTTTTTCCAATAATAAATGGTTTTCCTTAAGCAAAACAGTAAATTTCGTTATCAAAATCAATCTAACTTGTCAGTTTTTCAATTTTCTTAAGACTTTTTTAGATTTTCTTAAGTTCTTACCGTAAATAGTACCCCACCGCTCTCGTACAGTCGCGTAGTTGCAAAAGTTCTTTAGTATTTCTTTTTTTTCAAAGCACCCATGCTTTCAGAAAATGTGTCTTTGGTATCAAAAAATAGCCCTGAATTTCAGCTATTTTTTGATATCTAAACGCGCATTGTAGCATAAACCAGTGTCGAGAAAAACGCGTCCAAAGCTAGACTACGCAATACTCCGTACCGTCATTGGGTGGGGTGGGTACTATTATAGACTGGATAATTGTCGAAAAGCCTCGGACAAACAGACGGACAGAAGAACGGTGTTATATATGTAAATACTATAATAGTACCCCACCGCTCTCGTACAGTCGCGTAGTCGCAAAAGTTTTTTAGTATTTCATTTTTTTTCAAAGCGCCCGTGCTTTCAAAAAATGCGTCTTTGGTATCAAAGAATAGCTGAAATTCAGGGCTATTTTTTGATACCTAAACGCGCATTGTAGCATAAACCAGTGTCGAGAAAAACTCGTTCAAAGCTAGACTACGCAACACTCCGCACCGTCATTATCGGGGGTGGGGTACTATTACAGTATTTACGGTAAGTTTTCATAAACCTTTTAAGGCATTTTACATGTTTCATGAATGATAATTTATCAATTTCTATATCAAAAACGATTTTCGATTGATTGAAATCGAAAATTCCCATCGTTTTATCATATTTTTTTTTTGTTTTCTTTTTCGTTTACTGAAATTCCTTTCAATTTTAACTCCCCGCTGTGATATTCGCGTCTTAAATCCGGCTTTTTCCTCAGCTCATCCTGTCAAAAGGTGAAATTTTATGAAAATCACTCTCATTCTTTGAAGATAATCATTTTTTTTTCATGTTTCAAAAGCTCTTTCGTTATTTGATGCTCTAAAAATTTTCTTTTTCTTCTACCTTTCAAAAAAAAACCGAACGATTCACCGTTTCCCGGAATAAATCACTGATATCACTGATAAACTTGTGTTTTTTTTGTACGATTCGTCAGAAAACGGGCATTCAATCCAAAAATATATATAGAAAGCCTAAAATCTAAAAATTTTGCCCATGTGGCGAATTGCCACGGCTCTGCAGTTAGTCAAAATTCAATATACAAGTTAAAATTCAAAGTTGATGGATAAACTACCGTAATCAATCACTAGACGATCTTCAATTGTTCGTTTTTTCGTAGCTTGTGTATTTAAAAACCCATTATTTAAGCTTTGTTTTGAGTCAGTTGTGGACTCCTTTTTCTATTCTGGGAGTGGGACAAATGCTACCTTTTTTCTGCGCACCCGGACCTTTGCGCACCTTTTTTTCCGCACCTTGCCCATTAGCGCACCTTTTTTCGCGGTTTAAAAAAGCTCTAAAAAGCTAATATTAACCAATTTCTATTCCACAAGTTGTTTTTCTAGGTAATTTGAGGGTGTAGAATCGAAATTTTGACATAACAGAGCGTGTGGAACCAATTTGAAAGACAAAACGGCTAGGTCAAATTACAGAAAATTGTCGATGTCCGTATAGCTCTGTCCGTTTGTTTCCACAAGCTCTGATATGTCAAAATTTGAATTCGACACCCTCAAATTACCTAGAAAAACAACTTTTGGAATAGAAATTGGTTAATATTAGCTTTTTAGAGCTTTTTTAAACCGCGAAAAAAGGTGCGCTAATGGGCAAGGTGCGGAAAAAAAGGTGCGCAAATGTCCGGGTGCGCAAAAAAAAGGTCGCATTTGTCCCACTCCCTTCTATTCATCCTTTTTTTCACACGCAAGTGTTGAAGCAATTGTGCTAGTGCCAGGTTGCTCCAGTTTGAGCGAAGTTTGCCCTAATAAGGGAAAGTTTTGATAAATTGTGCGTTTTCGAGAAATCTACCATTGAACCACACCGAGACGCGGTCTCACAAGAAATTATAAAGATCAAAGTATAAATATATATTTCTTACAGCCTATTCGATTCACTTATCATTAGCCCATTCGAAATTTCTGCAGCGAATAATCGCTGCAGCAAAAACTCAGGAACGGACCGCTGCAGCGATTATTCGCTGCAGCGCTAATTGAGCTATTTTCATTCAATTAATTGCTTTTTTTTGGCTGTTTTTCAGCATTACATGTATATTCCAATTGTAGCAGATCTACAAATTACGTGGGAAAAAAAGATGTTTCATATTTACCCGGAATCAATGCAGTCTCTGGTTTTGCATTGAAATGTTCCATAATAGCTCTAATCTTATAAAGCCGATCTCCTGCAGGATCCAGTTCATTATCACAAAAACGCAGGTTGCGAAGAATAGATTCAAATTTTGCTCTTGACATAATGTGGGACATGTGGGAAAATCCTCCTAATCCAGGCCTGCTACTCCAGTAGTCACGAATCCTCGGTAATTTGACGATTCCCATTTGAAGATATTTGAAGATACAGAGCCAGGAAGAGCTTGAAAGATTTTGCATCGAAATCTTGCCAGTTTGTTTTCCTTTTTCCATGTTTATTAGATTCGCCTACTAAAATATTGTCGTCGATAAAATAAGAACAATAATCGATAGGATCTTGAAAAGTACTGAAGTCAAATCCAAATGGTTCTTCATCAAAAATAAATGGTGTAGGAGACTCTCTTACATCTTTCCAACCATAAATAAACTGCTTCGGAGTCAAAAATGTCAAAAAAAGGGCTTGGTCCGTAGACGAAAAAAAGAAAAAACGCTGCGGTTTCGAATGGGTTAGATTTCCATAATCTTGAGTGAATCTATTAAAATTTTAATGATTTTAAAGCGAAAAGTCATTCTACTTTTATCATTTGCTTTCAAAATTCATTATAAATCTCCGCTCTTGAAATATTTTTCTTTTTCGATTACACTGGCTGATTCATTCACATATTTCCCTCTTTCTTTTTCTCGCTTTCATTGCTTTCATTTCGTTTCTCAGGCTCTGAAATGACCTCTTTTTCATCAAAAATCGCAAAATTTTTATTAAAACACACGTTCGATAGATTTTCTTTTGAGGAAAACACCGGAAATTCGTTTTTTTTAAAATTTTTAAAAATCTTTAACCATTTTTGTTGCTTCGGAATTGAGTATTTGATTCTGCTTCTTTTCAACAAAACAATTTGTTTCAATAATTAATTAATTAGCCAAACAGAAGTTTGATTCAATTACTCAATTCCACATTTATTGACTTTCTTAGGCAGTTGAACCGAGTGGGTGACTGGCGGCGCGCGTTTAAGCCAAATTTTACCACCAATCATCCCCTCCTGGGTCTAATTTGTGCTTAAAATTGTAAACGCACGTTTCCTGGTGCACTGAAATGCGCATTTCTCGTGGTAAAAGCAAAACAGTACACCAGAAATTTTGCGTTTCTATTTTCAAGCACAAGCACACGCTAAACGTGTCATGATCATCGATTTTCCTCAATTTTTCCCTGGTGATCAATTTGTTACACAGTGATTAAACCGCGAATTCCTCTTTTTTTTTCCTTGTCTCTTTGCCCATTTTATTCCCGCCTAGGGCTATTCTTTTCTTTCCCCTCGAGAATTTGTCTTTTTACGATTTATCAACAAGTGCCTGTTAGCCGACTAGACTTTGCCTCGGAAATTTTGATCATTTTTATGTCTTTTATTTGATTCTCGTTTTTGAACAAGCTTCATTTTTTATCTTTCATTTAATTCTCAGCCTTTAACCTGTAAAATTTGACTTTGTGTTCGTTAAAATCGCAATTTTTCCAGAATCAATCAACTTTTTTCTTCCAATTCTGGCTTTTCTTTGTGGAAATTCTATTCTTTAGTCTATTTTTAGAACAAAAATTTCTATTTAAGCTTACCTTGAGATATTTTTGAGTTTGCTCTTCTCTTTTTTTGCTTATGACTTTGCTCTTCTCTTTTTTTGCTTATGACTTTGCTCTTCTATTTTCTCCTTATGACTTTGCTTTTCTAACATTCCAATTTTAGCTTATGAGCCGGTGATCAAAACAACTCAACTCAAACACTTTTCGAAATGGTCAAAAAAGAAGAGGATGGTGAAGGGACGGGTGAAGAAGTGAGACCATTGGAGAGATTGTTGCGAGTCGCCGATTTGTTGAGGTTTGTGTGAATTTTAATTTAATAAAAAGAAAGAGAAAGCTTTTTGAAATGCTAAAGTAGAACTTAAAAGGGTACTCCGTGGTTATCAAACTTTTAAGAAACGCCCCGCCCCTTTTCCCATTACCAATCTAACTTTGAGCTCAAATTTCTTGGTGTTGCGCTGTTCAATTTCAATATTCTTGATATCATTAGATGCGCCAAGTCTTTCTCTGTCGATTGGTGCAAAAACTATTTAAATTAAACAGCCCAACACCCAGAAATTTGAGCTTAAAGTTAGATTGACAATGGCAAAGAGATCGTGGCGCGTATCAAATGTCCCACAACCTACTTTGGTCTCCAAAGTGACTTTCTAATGACTTTTGTATATCAATCGACGCGTTTCACTCTCCTCTACATGAATTTCATAAAGGAAAATCTTGAAAACACTAAAAAACCGAAAAAAAACGATGACAAACTGTCACAAAAAATGAGCTTTGGAGTCTAAAATGTCTAAAATGAACTCAAAAAGCACAACCAAAAGAAGCCAGAATGAAAATAAAAGATTCATTCAACCTGGTTGGATTTTGCCGACTGTTAATGGGGTAAAGGGGAAAGGGATTGAAGTGAAATCTCACAGTTGGAGTCCTTCATTCTCTATTTCTCCTCTCAATCCCCCATTGACCTTTTCAAAGTTGACTCGTTGACTAGACCTAAACCCTTCAAAATGCAAATTTGCACCCAATTTTCGCCTTTTTTCTTTTCATTGCTGGATTTGAGGATTTAAATGAGTCTTTTTGGGAGATTTTTATACTACAGCTTTAAAATTAGTTTAAAAGACTTAGGCATAATTTATGATCGATATGATTTAAGATTTAAGCTTTTTAAATGATTTAAATGATTTTAGAGATTTATTTAGATCTTTTTGGGAAATTTTTATACTATAGCTGGCTTTTAAAATTAGTTTAAAAGACTTAGGAATGATTTAGGATCGATATGATTTAAGATTTAAGCTTTTTAAATGATTTAAATGATTTTAGAGATTTATTTAGATCTTTTAGGAAATTTTTTATAATATAGCTGGCTTTAGAATGATTTTAAATGATTTAAGAACAAATTTTTCTAGCTGAATCTTGTAAATCTGATCTTGAATTCAAAAATTGCGTGAACTTTTTCATTTTGACTCTTTTCAGATACGAGGACAAGTTCCGAAACGTGCTCAAGCTCCGTCACGCCGGTGATCTGCAATATGTTGATGAAGTGGATTTGAGTGGAATCGGTTCGTGTTTAAATATTGAATAAAATATTAGTAAACTTATCTAGATAAGGGAAATATCTAGATAATTTAATTTGTATATATCAGGAATGAGCCGCCCCGAGCAGAAACGCCTCCGCCAAGAGTACCAGAAAATGTTCCCGAAAATTGGGGTTTTTGGGAAATTGAAAAAAGTGAGTTAAATATCTAAATATATCTAAATATATCTAGATATATTTAGATACTTATTATCTCATTTCCAAAGTTTCAGGCTTTCACCAAAAACGAGAACGGCACCGGGGCATCGAATTTTCGAGATGACGCGAAAAACGAGCAACATGTGATTCCATTGGAAAAGGTTTAATTTGCATTTAGAATTATATGCAATGTAAAGACTAAGTATTGTAAGATTGAGATATTAAAAATATATCTAAAAATATCTAAAATTTAGATAACACTTACAAAAGAGCTCGGGAAAGGTGAGTTCGGTGCTGTCTGGCAAGCCTCGTGGAATAATGGGCCGGCGGAAAAGGACACGGTACAGGTACAGAATTCTTTAAACACTCTTTTTTGGGTACTGTAAGATATGCTAATTTCTCTATATATGCTAATATTTGTGTTCAGGTGGCTGTCAAAGTGATCTCGACGGGGAAATTGGTCAACTGTACGACGAGCTTTCTCTCGGAGGCTGCTATTATGACAAGGTCGGGCTTGTTTTTTAATTAATTAATCAATTATTATTTGATATAATTAATTATTAAGTTAACTATTCAATTACCGTAGCTATTAGAGATATCATAGAACCCATTTACGTCCAGTATAGCGCATATAAGTGCTACTTTTTGAGCCAGGTACAAGATATCGGTACTGATGAAAATTTGAACTGATTGATTTCACCAACCATAGGAAAATGCCAAGAATGTTATGTATTGATTGATTAAGGAATGAGATCTATGTTCATAGCTCTAAAGAATGTTTTGAATCCGGAATTTTTCAACCTAGGTCGATTGCCGATGAAAAGTTTGTGAGAAATAGAAAGACTATCCGCTTATCTGTAATTGTTTGCAGAAAAGAACCTGTAAGAGGTCTTTGAAAGCTTTAAAACACTTAAATTTTCATAAAAACAGTTTTTTCTGTTTCAGGCAAAAAAGGCAAAAAAGTTTGGCTAGGAACGGGATTGAACCCGCGAATAAATTTGGCTAGTTTCTTAGACTAGCGCACTATCCCCTAGGCTACCGCCGCTCTCCCTTCTTTCCCGCTTGGCGCTCTCTTATAGGCGGCAATTTGCCGAAAATTAGCTGAAACTTTGACACGTTTTTCTCAAAAACTAGCCTTCACAAGGAAAAAATAAAAAGATAAAGTTTCTTAGAATTCGGGGCGTTTTGTAGCTAGGTTCGATTTCGAAAATCGATGGTAAGTTGAAACAGTTCTCTAGTAAGCCCTAAATATAGGGAACAACTCTAATATATGGAAAAAAATCAATAATCTAACCGGCGGGGTCGAAGCCTTGATCTCCCGACTAAGATACAGGGCTCATAGCCAGTTGGCCTCAAAGCTTGACATGGGAAATTTATCTTTTGACTCTTTGGCATCTTTACAGAATGCGCCACGAGAACGTCGTTCAACTCTACGGTGTTGTGCTGGACACAAAACAAGTGATGCTCGTGTCAGAGTTGGCCACTTGTGGATCATTGCTTGAATGTCTTCACAAACCGGCTCTCCGTGACTCTTTTCCAGTCGATGTGTTGTGCGATTACGCATGTAAGAAGTTAGAAATAATCTAAAAATTCGAAATCACAGCTAATATTTTTCACTTTAGTCCAAATCGCGAGCGGAATGGCCTACCTGGAGTCGCAACGGCTTATTCACAGAGATCTAGCCGCCCGGAATGTCCTCGTTTTTGGCCCAAAGAAGGTTCGAATTTTAAATGCAAATTTTATTTCTCGATAGATTTTAAGCAATAAAATATCTAAGAAATTATTGTAAGTCAATTTTCAGGTGAAAATCTCAGATTTCGGGCTCTCACGATCTCTCGGAGTCGGAGAGGATTACTATCGGAGTGAATTCTCGCCGACTTTAAAGTTGCCGATCGCTTGGTAAAGATTTATAATGATTTTTTTTAAACAATTAAAAGAAATATATCTAGATATTTTGCTATTTACTATCGCATAAATAGGGATTTTCCAACCGAATCCTAGGGCCTGGGCTGGGCAAGGCACAGTTAAACTACAAGGTGTTCAATATTTATGGAAACCAATCGATCACTAGGTTTAAAGCTCGTTTTGTTCAAACTAATATTAAAAAAGAAACAAAACATATCAAACACATATAGTTTAAAGAGTTTAAGTCACTTTTTTTTTCAAAATTATTGCCTTTCCAAAACAATAATTTCTCTCACAATCGCCTACAAAAGCCACCCCATTCACCGAAACTTTCGGCCCACGTAGTATAGTGGTTAGTACTCCACGTTGTGGCCGTGGCGACGCTGGTTCGATTCCAGCCGTGGGCAATTCCTTTTGCAATTTTTGATTTTTTGATGAAAGATTGATTGAAACAAAGATTTTAAAGGATTTCAATCAGTTTTAGACTTAAAGATCAACCTTTTCTATCATTTATTTAAGATTTTTAAAACCTAAAGGCTCAGGTTGCTTAGAAACTAGAGAACGAGAAAAACGCTCATTGTGGCACGGAGATCGAAAAAATTGAGTTTGTCATTTTCAAGTTTGTCAAGTTTTTTTGAAAAAATCAAAAAGAGAAATATAATTCTAACATTTTTTTAATGTAATAAATTTGAAAACTGATAAATAGTGAAGAATTTAAATAATGTTTTTAATTTAAATATCATTAAACAAGAATTACTAGGTCTGACTAGAGAATAACTAGGAGTAATTTAGGTGATCGTGTTCCAATGAATCGGTTTTACGCATAACAAATTGAGTAAACAGTAAAAGGAAATGAGCATTTCATATGTCAATTCTGTAATTCAGTGCTTTCTTAATTGTTTTTCTTTCCATAAACCGATTTTGGAAGCGCTAAAACATCTAAAACTCCTAAAACTTCGAACTCAAAAGTTTCCATAAATATTGAAAACTCTTTAGGATCAGAATGAGCTATTTTGAACCTTTTAAACAAATCGGTTCATAAAAAGCTTCTTTAAGAAATAGAATTTCTACAAAAATTGGCTTCCAAGCCTTCAAAGAGTTGCGCTTTTTCAGCTTCTTTAACTATGGCTTAAAAGCCCTTACAACTTTTTGAAGTTTTTGTAATTCGAGCTTTCAGAGCTTTCATATAAAATTTACAATTTCTCTTTGACAGGTGTGCTCCTGAATGTATCAATTTCCTCAAGTTCACCTCAGCGTCCGACGTTTGGTCGTACGGAGTAACCACTTGGGAGATGTTCACATACGGAAAAATGCCATGGCAAGGACTCAATGGAGCTGAGGTTGGGAATAAATGTTTAATCTATTTGATAAGCTATTTGATAAGCTATTTGATAAACTATTTGATAAACAATAAGCTAAACAATAAGCTAAATAAAAATGTAAGTAAAACATTTGTACTGATACGTTGCAAGCAATTGTTAGCTCAAAAAGTGACGAAGCACAGAATTTAGCTGGAAAAGCCTGAGTGGCTTATGATTTCCTGAGACGGAAAAACCTATTCTAACATAAATTTCACAACTTTCAAAGCTTATTTTAGATTCTAAACGCAGTGGATCGTCAGCAGAAACATTTGGACCGTCCTTCCTGTTGTCCCGATGATATGTGGGATTTGATGAAAGATTGTTGGCATCACACCCCGGAAAGAAGGCTCACTTTTAAGCAAATTGGTTTGTTACTTAAAAATTTCTTGAAAATTAGGAAAACTTACTTTCAAAAGTTTTAAACAATCTAGAAAGGCCTATTCATAGGCCGTCCACTAAAGAAAACTGATTCAATAGTTAAAAATGTGTCATGGATTCGCATAGATACAACATCATAGAAGGTTCAGTTTACAGTTACAGTAACTAGTAAGCTTGATGGATCATTCATTCTGATTCAACCTTACTAGTTACTGTAACTGTAAATTGAAACTACTATGTTGTATCTATGCGAATCCATGACACATTTTTAATTATTAAATCAGTTTTCTTTAGTGGACGGTTTCCCGGATCGAATCCCGCAAATGGTGAAAGCGATTCGTGATTGTCGAGATCAAGCCGATGATCATTTGCAGTTCAAAAAAGACGATTTGATCATCGTTTTGTGTAGAAGGTGAGTGAATTCACAATAGTATCAATTCTAATTATACATTGAGTCTTATTTCGTAGCTTAAAACCTAAATCCTTTTTGTAGTCTGTTCTCAAAACAAGTTTAGACTTTAACCAATAAAATCAATAATATGGTTTCATTAGAAATCATTCTAACAAAAGATTACGGTATTTTCTATACCTAAATCTATTTCTTTACTTTTAGACCAACCGCCTATCCAGACGGCTTCTACTGGCTAGGTTCGATGAAAAATGGGAAAGTCGGACTCTTTCGGCCAATTGATACGGTAAATGTGGCTTTTCTTAGATAATAGTATATTATAGTATAGCATTAGATATAGGATTTAAAAGCAAATTACCCCAAATATTCAAATTACAGGTGGCCCACCTTGGCGCTGAGTGCCCTGCTACTGTGAAAATCTCAACCTCAGCACCACAAAATGGAAAAGAGACAAAGGATAAGGTAAATAAGATTAGAAACTAGGTTTAAATATGATTTTTTTTTGGAGAATCATCTAGCTATAGAATATCTTGTATTATATCTCATATCCGTTTAGCGTTTACTTTTGATGAGCCAGTCTTTTGATGAGACGAACATGCGAAAAATGCTCGTAAGGGTTGTGTACTTTGTGCTCACGTAAATGCACGCTTTCTAGCACACCAATAAATTCTATTTGTTTCTATTTGGTGCTCCAGTAGCCGCGCGTTTTCCAGAAGCACAAAGTACAAGCTGCGTTTGAACCTTATGTAAATGAAAATAACAATCAAATTTTGCATTAATCTTTGTTATTTTATAAATTATCGAGAATCAAAAAGCTTGATTTAGAAAAAAGAATGGAAAGAAAGCGATCGAGAGTCGAAGAAATTGCTCATCTCGGAGCCACAAGGCGATCTAAGGCACATGTGTCATGTGGGAATTGATGGAACAGCGATTGGACTATTACAGGTACAGGATTTTAAGTCCTAATTGATTATGATACTTATTCCACTACAATATACAATATCTGGCATACGGTAACATATCGTAAACGTACATTTCTTGTTGAAATCTTTATTGAAATTGATTGATTACGGGTACTTTAACTTCGGCTACATGCTTATAATTACCCGAACTCACTTCAATGAGTCTAGCTCAGCGAAAATCAAATGAATCTCTCTGATTTTTTCAGGGATAAATTTTGACTACGCCTCCAGCAGCAGTGCTCAATATTTAGTCGATCGGAGTAAACACAAATTTTATATAGGCTCTGAAAGTTGAGAGTCGCGCTTTCGTTGGCACGCAATGGGTTTTAGTATTCAAACCACTATTCTTGCCACGAATCATTTCGACTTTGTTTTATCGTTGTTGTAAGTCACGCTTCCCTAGGCCAAACATGTTTTTGTGGTTTTTAGAAAAGTTAGTTTTAATCAAATTCAATGAAACTTTTACTTTTACTAGTTTTTTGAACAAAATACGTTAAATTTTAAAAATTGACAACTGGTTGCTTCAAAAAAAAAATGGTAATTTCATTTCCTATTTCTGATTTTCTAAGATTCTAGATTTTTTTTTTGGTTTATGGGTAGATTTCAGAATTCAACGGGTTTTTTTCCTCTCTTATAAAACTAACTTTTCTAAAAACCACAAAAACATGTTTGGCCTAGGGAAGCGTGACTTACAACAACGATAAAACAAAGTCGAAATGATTCGTGGCAAGAATAGTGGTTTAAATACCAAAACCCATTGTGTGCCAACGAAAGCGCGACTCTCAACTTTCAGAGCCTATATAAAATTTGTATTTACTCTGATCGACTAAATATTGAGCACTGCTGCTGGAGGCGTAGTCAAAATTTATCCCTGAAAAAATCAGAGAGATTCATTTGATTTTCGCTGAGCTAGACTCATGGAAGTGACGCGAATGATGCGAATGAATAATTATGGCGCGTACTGTAGTTCATTATCCCAGCTTCTTGTCTTATTACATTATACAATAGACAATATACCGTATATTGCGACAGATACAGGTACAATGGATAAGTATTTAAGGACATATGAATATCTTTAGCTTTCACGATTAAAAAGATCTTCCAGTCTTGCACCCCAAATACTTTTTATTAGCCCAAAAAAAGATTTTGAATATAAAAATAAGAATGTCAGCTCTGCTAAAGAATCCAGTCTTATTGGCTGAATAGCTTTATTCAAGAGCTTTACTAAAACTGTGTGATGAACGTTACAGTATCCTTTCTAAGGCTTCACAACTTTGATCTTCAAAGGCAAATTTTCAGATCGACAAGAAAGATCTTGTCAAGGGTACGCCCGTCCAATCGAACTCGATCTCTCCCGGGACAACGATCCGATCGATCACTCCATCAACCACAAATCAAACCGGTTCTGAAGGATCTTCGTCGATTGGAAGCCCGGCAACAGTATCAAGAAATGATCGGGTCACGTTCAGGTTGGAGCTGGTTTCTGATTTCTTTCTGTTTTTCTGTTTTTCTGTTTTCTTTCAGCCAATACTGTAGCTTATTGTCTAACGATTGAGTCTTTATAAACAGTTGTTAGCATAGCCATTTTTATAGAAATACTGTAGCTTTTGATGAAATAATTTGCATTCTATATCCAAAGCTTTCAGAGATCGCCATACTGTAATTTCTGTACCCGGCTCGCGCGCGCCAAGTCAACCGGGAATGATTGTGACGACAAGGGGAAGTGTTGAGCCGAGTGCACCACCGTTATCGGTAAGTGGTGCTTGAGAACAGTATTTTGTTCAAATTTTTTTTAATCTAAAATACTTTTACCTTAGAGCTCTTCTAGGTGCCCAACTCGTTGACTCGAACCGAAGTGGCGCAACTAAACGAGAAACTCCTCGACGAGTCGCTCTATGTTTTGAATGGATCCATAGAGTAAGTGATGAAAAGAATGGGATTTTCGCTTAGGTTTTTGATATATTCTATATAAATTTCATTGTTTCCAGCTCACTGACAAACTCGATGCACCGAAGTAGTCACTCGGCGAACTTCGGCAGTGACGAGTTCTTACAACCGAGAAGGTTTGTTCATGGAAAAGAGTTGAAATGACAAAAATTCAATCACAAACTTGAACTCGATTTTGACAATGAAATCTCATAGATAAATCTCATTATTCAAATGATTTCATTATTCTAAATTTCAGATCTCCAAACCGGCAACCACCCATTTGCGCCGTTTACGCGAGAACCCCAGAAAAGTGAGTTTTGAAGGCAATTTGAAGTCAATTTGAAGTCATTTACTTTAAAAGCTAGTTAAGAAATTTTCAATTTAACAAAATCAGAATAGAATTTGCACTTTGAAGCTCAATAAATGTACTGTAGTCTTGTACTTGTGGGTACTGTAGTCTAGTACTTGTGAAAGATACTGTAGTCTAGTACTTGTGAAAGGTACTGTAGTCTTGTACTTGTGAATGGTACTGTAAGTCTCATTGTCACTAAGCTACAGTACCCCAAACGCTTTTCATTAAACCAAGGATCACGTAAAAAGATCATGTTTTAGAATGGTTAAACTTGGTAAAATCAATTTGAAAGGTTTTATACGTCCCAGTTTTGTCTCAGTTTTGTCTCAATTTAGTTGCCAGGGAATACTGTAGAAAGGACACGTTTTAATATAAATAAACTGGGCAAAACAGCATTAAAATATGCTGAAAAGCTCTTGGTGTAGATTTAAATTTTAAATTTCTGCAAACTATAGCAAAGTCTCAAGTTATTGAAACTTGAAAATGACAAAAAATTCGTCTTACTCTGAATCATAGAGATCAGGCGCAATGGGGTGAGAATTTTCACAAAAAGCATAAGCCCTAGACTATTTGACGGAAATATTATCATTGATACGGTGACCAGTGAATACTTTTTCATGGATTTGTTGACTTTTTGATTATTTTTTTTTAGAAAATTCAACTTCTTGACACCTTTCTTAAGCCTTGAGGTCATGTATAATGTTTTTTTCACTTCCTCGTCGTAATTGCTAAGCTGAAAAGCTTGGCTTAAGTCTTGTAGTCAAGATTAACAGTACTTGGATTGTTTAATTTTGACTTGGGACTTGATTAGCTGAAAAATTTCCTGATAAAACGGTTGATTGTTGAGGTCAACTGTCAGGCTTATGACTGGACCAGGCTAAGGTTTTTGCTTCTTACCAGATCTGGACTTGAAGAAACACTGGCCTGATCCTGGAACCAAGGTTTTTCTAAAGGACCTGATTGATCTGGCTGATCAGCTAGAGATTTTCCAGTTTATTAGCCCTGAAACCAGAGTTGTTCTAAAGGCAGATTTCCCGAGACTTCCAGACCAAGGCAGGTTGGAACTGGCTTTGTTCTGGCTTTGTTCTGGCTATCTGACCAAATCAGCTTAGTTAGACTTTTGACTAGACAAGGCAAGGCTGTACCTGTTTCTAATTTGGCCTGGCTGAGAACCTAGGTTTTTGGTTGAACATCCCTGACTGAATCCAGGCTAGGAAGACCCTGTTCTTGCCTGGTCTGAGGAAAGCATAGATATTTTATTAAAATTAATGACTATTCTTTAGCCTTTTAATTGTAAACCTGACTTGTCACATGGCGAATCTCCAATTCAAAACCTGATCCTTCCCCTCCCTCTCAATAAAATTTATCAGATAAATAAACAAGAAGGGAAAATATTTGGGAATTTTATAGTTTTCTTCTTTTTCTTTTCTCTCATGAATCGCCTTTTTGCGTTTTTTTTTTGGCTGAATAGCTGAAAGTGATAAGCTTTGGCTCTAAAATGGGCACCTTTTTCTAAAAGATTCAAAGTTTTGAACTTGTTGTTGGCATACCATCTAATTTGGGAGATTTTATGAATGAGTGGTTTGATAAGAATGAATTGGTTTTCAGTTTTTAATCAACTTTTCCTTTCTATTGGTTGAACGTCATTGTTATTGAGCTCTTTGGGATCTGATTTGACCAATAAAATAGTCGATTGTCAACTTTCATGGTCAACTATCAATTTTCGATGATCATCTCACTGCTAAATGCTTAAAGATTGGATATTTTGGTTAGAACTATTGGGTTGTCCAGTTATGAATGCGCGTTTTTACTATTTTGTAAATTTCTCAAGATATCGAACAGATGTATATGGGTGTTATACATCATTCGAAAGCTGAAGATCTCCTCTACATTTTGGAATAAAACAAGCTTTTGAATTCATTCAACTTTTTGGGAAATTGACTGCACAAAGGGAGAGGTCGTTTTCGAAAAAAAAACCCCATTTCAGCTTAGCTATTCCTCAAGTTTTATGGTGTAAAATAACCGCTCAGAAAAGAAAAGGAAAGTAAAGATCCTCTGAAATTGTTATATTTTTAAAAAGAGTTGTATTGATATATCTATTGGCCAAACATCAAACGGTTAACTCAATTTGAGCGGAGCCAAAACTTGATCCAAAGGCACCTTTCCATTTTTTGGCCACCGCTTCTTCTGTGCAGTCAATTTGCCCAAAAGCTGAACAAATTCAAAAACTTTTTATATCAAAATTTAGAGGAGATCTTCAGCTTTCGAATAATATAATATATATCTTTTTCTTGATTTCGGTATCTTGAGAACTTTACAAAATAGTAAAAAACGCGCATTCATAACTGGACAACCCAATATATATTAGAACTATATAGAACCTATATTGAGAATCCAGTTTGTCTAGAACTCTTTTTAGAAATAGCCAGAGCCACTCTAGCAGTAGCCAATAGACACTCTAATCCAGTTTTTCTTTTTCAATCAAATACTCTTTGAATGCTTTGTTTTTGTTTTAGAAATAGCCAGAGCAGCGACGGTTTTTGAACATTAGTTAACTGACAATCAGCCAAAGAAACTAAAAGAGTTTAAACTTTAAAACTAAAGCAAAGGACCGTCGGTTAGGGTTGGTTCTAGATCAAATTTCTAGCGCCAAGTCTTCCTCATAATCTAGCTTTAGTCTGATCAAGCCTGGACTTTGCCTTGGAAATTTCAGAAACATTGATCCAGGCCATGGTTAGGCATCCAGTAGATTCTTTCGAATTATAAATTTGCTAATCTTTTACAGGTTTATTGTCTTTTTCTTTTCTTTAAAACCTTTTAGATAAGAGGCTAAGTAGTCTAGTTTGTCAAGTTCTACACTCGAATCTTTAGTAAGAAGGAAAACTGAACGAAATCTAATGAATTTTCGATCAATGAGGAGAAATTTCTATGTGATCCTCTTATTTATCAGCCTTAGAAATTTCAGGAACAGAAAGCCTGGACTTGTCCTTGGAAATTTCAAAAACATTGGTTCAGGCCATGGTTAAGCATCCAGTAGATTCTTTCGAATTATAGCTCTGCTAATCTTTTATAGGTTTATTGTCATTTTTATTCGACACATCCAAACGATTTCTCATTTCCCAATTCTCCAATTCTGCACTTTGTTTTGAAAAAGCAACGATCGTTTTTGGTGATTCATCTCCTTCGAAAACCCCATCAACCCTTTGATTTCACTGATTTTCTTTGCCGATTTGCATTCGAATCTTCTTTCACTTTTTGTTTTTTTTTCCGTTTCAATTCTTTTCTCACATTTTATATTTGCATCTTTGTCCCACCGATTTCCGGTGATCTTTCTCCCGCTTTTGCCAATCTTCAAAGGTCTTCCGGTTCTACGGTTCTCTTGACCTTGAACAATTGCTTTGCTCATTGAAACGAAACCTTTGTTAGCTTCAAAATAAAACTTTCTTCTCATTTTTGATCTTCTTTTGCTCAAAAAAAAATCAGTTCGTCTCTCTCAGTCAATTTCTCTATTTGTTAGTTTTGATTCTACAAAAAGCTGGACATTTAGAGTCCTTGTAAAGAAAAACTCAAATCAGATTCGTAAAAAGACTCTAAATCTATTCTAAAATCCAGTTTTTCCTTTGCTTGTTACTTTAGAAAGTTTAGAAACTTAAAAAATTGCCCTTTTAGATGACAAAACTGTTTCCAAATTGCTTACTAAGAACAATTTCTCAAACAAAATCATTTTCACAAAAGTTGTCTTTCATTTCATCATTCTGTTTATTTTCAGATAGCATCAATCTTTTTTTTCAACTTCCGGATGATCTTTTTATTTCTCTTTTCCACTTTTTGTGATTCTTTCGATCTTTCCATCTTTCCATCTTTCCATCTTTCCATCTTTCCATCTTCCTATCTTCCCATCTTCCCATCAGAACTATCCTTGACCGTTTCTTTTATTATCCATTCATTTCAATGATTTCCGTAACTTTTTCGCTTCTTTTCGCTATTATGCAAGTTCCCTAAAAATATTTAATTCTAAAACTTTCTAATTTAATTCTAAACTAAAACTTCTTTCCTGTTTTATTTTGCCAGTTTTATTTTTAGCTGGATTACGGTATTTAGTCTAGATTCGGTATTCAGTCTAGCTTAGGTTATTCAGTCTACATTAGCTGGATTATGGTATTCAGTCTGGATTGGGTATTCAGTCTAGATTAGCTGGTTCACGGTATTTAGTCTGGATTGGGTATTCAGTCTAGAATAAGGTATTCAGGCTAGAATAGGTTATTAGAATAGGTTATTACGAGTAATTCTTTCGATCTTTCGATCTTTCAATCAATCTTCCCATCTTCCCATCTTTCCATCTTCCCATGAGAACTATCCTTGACCGTTTCTTTTATTATCCATTCATTTCAATGATTTCCGTAAGTTTTTCCCTTCTTTTCGCTTCTTTTCACTTCTTTTCACTATTATGCAAATTCCCTAAAAAATCTCTAACTCAAAAACTTCTTTCCTATTTTATTTTCCCAGTTTTAAAAGTTCTAAAGCTTCAGTTTAATTGTCAATTTACTACTTTAAAATTCACCATTCATCCCAAAAAGTTTTCAGTAAATTTCTACGAATTGAATACGAAAATTACTCGTTTTTATTCGTAATTTATTTTTCTTTTCACTTTTAAAAAATATCCTTCATTCCAGTGTCTTAATGAAGTATTCCCCGGTCGCCCTATTACGACAAATTCATTTCCCTAGGCACAGGTAAAGCTAGAGTTTAGTCGAAAGTTAAACCTCAAAGACAAAGTTCAACACCATTAATTTCTTTCATCTTTACTTTCAGTGCCGCAGTGTCTCATCCATCAACATCGGATCGAATCTTAATGGATGAAGTGGCCCATTTGGATCGTGATTTGACCGATTTCTCTCTGGCTTCACTCGGTGGATCCGATTACTCTGATACAAGGCCTTTGATTCCAGGTAGAATTTTGATTATTCTTTAAACTAATAAGCTTGAGCCTTTAATTTCAGATAAAACTTTGGTTATTCTTAAAATAGATAAACTTTAGGCTTTGATTCCAGGTAAAACTTTGATTATTCTTTAAACTAATAAGCTTGAGCCTTTAATTTCCGGTAGAACTTTGATTATTCTTAAAGTTGACCCTACTATTTTCAAGCTTACTTGAAACTAACAAGTCAAAGTCTTTTCATTCCTTTTCAAAAACTAAAAAATGCACCAATTGAATTACGTTTTATTTCATTAGAAAGATCAATCATTTTTCTATAAAATAACATTAAAACGGATTTCAAATGTCTTATTTCTGGATTTTTTTTCGACGGCGAAAAGTCAAGTAGTCAAAAAGGACGGCTCGATGATACGTTTTAGACATTTTAGCTAAGAAAACCGATCTTTGTGTCTATAGATAAAAGATAGATCATAAAAACTTTGGTATGTAGCCAAATTTTCAGAGAATTTCATTCAGCCGAGGTTTTTCTAGATTTTTACCAAAAAAAACGTTTTCAATCTCGAATTTGCTTAAAATTGATCGAAAATTGACTTAAAAAGATGAAATTGAATAAAAAAAGACTTTTTATTTAATGAAAACCATAGGTTAATTGATGGATTTGTCATTTTTCAACAAAAGTTAGAATAAAACTTTGAAAGAAGTTACATTCTTTACTAATCAATAAATATTAGATTTAGCTTAGTCTTTGATAAGTCTTTGATTAGTCTAAGACTAGTCTAAGACTGGTCTAAGACTAGTCTAAGACTGGTCTAAGACTAGTCTAAGACTGGTCTAAGACTAGTCTAAGACTTAAATTAGTATTAGTATTATACTCAAAGCTAGAGCTAATTTTTGTGAAAAACTCGATTCCCGAACTTTTCAGTTTCCCCCACACAAACCCTCGAGATCAAAAGGAGTAGTGGAAGCGATTTGGGGCACTCGTAAGTGAATTTTTACATCTTTCAAGTCTTAAATCGTTCGAAATATCAAAAATTTGGACTCTTGCGTAATTTCCGGGTATTTTGGAAACATCCAGGTATTTTGAACGGATCGTCACGCTTGGAAGATCTATAACTTTGTCCAGAGATGATATTTTTGCTAACTTTTTATATCATTGTACAGAGGACATTTCAGGCTTTCGAATGATACCAAATAAAGCTTGAATGGATTTTTCATTCCCATGCAAACTAGGCGACACAACACTCGAGTTGGATAGGCTTCATTTGCTCAGAGTTGGCTCTGATTTTCCTCGACTGGATTGATCAAACAACCTCTATTTGGTATCATTTGAAAGCTTAAAATGTTCTCTGTACAATGATATAAAAAGTTAGCAAAAATATGATCTCTGGATAAAGTTATAGGTCTTCAAAGCGTGACGACCCGTTCAAAATACCTGGATGTTTCCAAAATATCCGGATTCTTTTAAAATATCCGGAAATGATGCAAGAGCCAAAATTTGAGTCAAGAATAGATTCTAGATTCAATATCCTCTTTCTTTTCTTCTTTTCTTCTTTTTTTCAATATCCTTTTCTTCTTTTCAGTTGCTCATCCTCTCCACCAACTGTTCGTTTGATGAGTGAAGAGGAAATCGCTCGATGGCACGATAAAGAAAGTAAACAACACAATAAGGTAATGAAGATTTTAATTTCGATCAAATTTCAGATCAAATTTCAATCTTAAAATCTGTTTTAAATTGCAAATTTGAAATTTTAAGCGACTAAACGGTCAGTAGAACATTTCCCCGCCAAAAATCCAAAAATCCTTTCATTTTCTTTTTTTCACTGCAAATTTTCTGATAAATCCAATAAAGAATTGACGCATTTCGGCCATTTCTTTCCTTTTCTTTTTTATTTTTGAAGATTTTTCAGATTGATAAGAAATTGGAGGAAACGAATCGGAGAAGCAGCGCTGAACAAAAGGATGTGCAAGGGACGGCGAATGGGTGAGGGAATTTGAGGGGAAAATTCGGAATCTAGAATCTTTAGAATCTTTAGAATCCTTTTTGGTCAATCCACTCTCCTAAAAGGCATTCATTTTCGAAATCTAACGTAATTAAATCGACATTTTCCTTAAAATTAGCCCAATTTTGCTATCAATCGATCGAGGAATCACAAGGCTTACTAGAAATCGTTGTTTATTTACCACCGAATTTCGAAGTAACCTATTTTGTTGCAAATTTTTCACTGATTCCAAATATCTAAGTCGTTTTTAATGGAATGGATTCAAATTTTTGATTAAATTTGATTAAAGATTAAATCCATTTAAAGTATGTGTGTAAGAAAAACGGTTTTGCAGTGCTAATTAACTGACGGCGCGATTATCTAGCGAACTTGCCATCCGCCGCCATCCTCCCTCGTGGCCGAGTGGTAGTGCGCTAGACTCTCAAGCGGTAAGCCCGCTTTAAAGGCCCTGGCTCGATCCCGGCCTCGGAAAAAGCTTTTCTTTTTGTATTTCTTCAAAACTTGGTGGTAAATAAACAACGATCTCAATGATACGAAAATTGGCTGATCGAGTAATTTGATAATTTGATAATTTGATAATTTGATAATTTGATAATTTGATAATTTGATAATTTGATAATTTGTAATTTGTAATTTGATAAGGGTAGTTTTAAAAAAATTTATGTATAACTTTGAAAAACATCTATATTATCAATAAAATTATCTATAAAAGTATGAAATTAGTAATAAAGATAGCTAAATTTTGAAATTATCTCTTTATCTAATTATCAATTAAGTATTAAGTATCTATGAAATTCAATTTTACAAGCTTTCAGAACCGCTAGTCGATCAAATCCACCCGATTGGTCTCCCGAAGCGCAAGAGGCTTACAAGCTGCTCGTTGAATGTGGCGATACCCTACAAAAAGAAGCTAAAGGTGGGCATTTGAATGAAAATTTCGAATCCTAATATCCAATTTACATTTCGAATAGCATTTTGCATTTTGTTTCCATTACAGCTGCCTCAATATCCCCACGAAATCGCCCTTCAAGTGCCCCGAATAGCTCCCGAAGCTCCACTGATGAGCGTCCAATCGCTAAAATCAACGCAACTCGTGTCTCTTGTGATTCAACCACCTCTACACTGAATTCAGCTCATGTAAGAGCTATTATTCCAGTTTGAATTCGATTTTCTATTCCAATTTTGAGTATTCAGGTGAAACATGAGGGATCAACTTTCATTGCTCGACCAGCTTTACCTCCAAAGTCTTATGTGAACACGGAAGCGATCAAAGTGAGCTTTTCGGCTAAACGAGTACTAGAAATGGTAAATTCAATAGTGCTGTGCTGTGCTAGCAATAGTTTAAGTGCTCAGAAATCAAACACAGCTTTAAAAAACAAGTTGCAGTTGCTGGAAAATCAGTTCTAGCTATTGGCTGAAGTTCTAGCTATTATCAAAAAGCTTAAGTCATCAATTAAATATCAAACAAGATCTAGTTCTTCTCGAAAATCCGAATCTTTTGTCAAAAATGGTTTTTTTTTTCGTTTTAAAAAGCTATCATAAGCAAAACTCTAGCAAATTCGATTCTCTTAAGACTTTTCTATAAATTATTGGGACTTATTCAGAAATCGATTTATTATAATCATTTCTATAGCTATCTACTATATATAAAATAGAAGAGACGTTTGTTCGTCTGTTTGTCTATGCGCAACTATTGACAAAAAGGGCCAGGGCTTAGATTGCGCGGAAAACGTGAACGACCAGAACGCTAGTGAGCGTTTTTTTCGCTGATAAAGCTATAAAATAATAATCATTTCTACATAAAACATCAAAAACTAGAAAAAGAATAAACTAGAGCAAAGTACTAGAACAAATTACTAGAACAAAAACTTTTCAGCCACCCGAGCTTCCACCAAAAAAGACCAACAAAGTCTCACCAGCAGCCGCTGCTGATTCAGGATACGATAACTTGAATGGAATCAGTGAGTATTACCAAGTAAAGATACTAGGTTTTAAAATTAGAATATGAAATATCATAAAAATTCATTTACAATCAAAAAAGAAGTTTTTTTTCAGATCAATCTCAAGAGTTGAAGAACAACAACAACAAGTTACCACCGCCGGTTCCACCAAAACCGAAAACCCGGTAAGCTACAGCTTTACACTTACCATAACCTACAGTAATCTACTGTAACCAAGAAAATCTTGTTTTTAGTATTGTCGCAAAACAACTAGCCTCCTAATCTATTTTCATTTTTTACATTGTGGTGAGTTTTTGTGCGCTAACAGCGATGCCATTCTTTTTTTCTACGCTAACAGCCTACAGTAGCTTTTGGTACTAAAAAAGTAAATGCATTCTTTCTAGCGCATTGAATTCTTCAATTCCTTCTATTATTGAATGATTTTTGGTAAGAAAATGAGGGATTTCAGTTCACCAGAAGGCGTGCGTTTAAGCATAAAGATAACAACACGAGATAACAACTTACAAAGAGATACTGGACAATGAACCTACTGGACAATGAAATATCATATTTGAAAAAGATCGTCACCTTTGCGCGTCTGTAACTCCTTTGTCTTTACCGTATTTGTAAATATTAATATTACCATTGTGTAGCCCTTGAAAAGAGCTTTCAGAAAATGTATAACACTAATAGTTTAAACTCAAAGACAAGGGAGTTACTGACGCTCGAAAGTGACGATCGTTTTTAAAATATGATATTTCATTGTCCAGTACTGTAGCTTAGAATAACTAGACGTTAAGCACAAAGATGACAGCTTACAGAGATAGCTTACAGTAACTAGACGTTGGGCACGATGATAGCAACTTACAAAGCGATAGCTTACAGTAACTAGCTAAGCACAATGCTAACAGCTTACAGTAACCCAGCATGACTTTAAGTAGCAGAAAATTAGTATAGGAAACCTTTTTTGTGTGGATTTGCTAATCTTTTTGCTTTGATTAACAAGCTTTTTCAATAAATGTCTAAAAAATTAGCATAATGAGTTTCAGAACGAATCCCCCGTCAACAAGCTCATCGATTGATCACTCAAAAAAGGGTTTTGCACCGATAATTGCCCGTTCTTCGCTTTTCAATGGGACAAAAATTGAAGAAATCATCAAATACTAGAAAATTTTGTTTTTCTATTTAATCTTTGGTGATTTTCAATCACTTTTTAAACTTCTTCTTTTGTAAATTCGTTTGTTTTTCTCAATTTAGAAATATCCCAATCTTCAATGAACTTTTTCTTTTCAAAAAAAGTCTATCTAAGTCTATCTAAAGAATTTGAAAGATTTTAAATCTAGGAAAATTCTCAAATCAGTAGGTTTAAAGCAAAAATTCCTCTTTTTAAACAAATTTAATCCTAGCATTGCTTAAATTCTCTTTTTTTTTTTACTTTAAAACTCAAAATTTAATGATGAAAAAAACGTAAAATGACGGGTGCTCAATGAAGAAAAATTTGTATTTAAATGATTTTTTTTCATTTTTTTATTTTTTCATTTTTTCGTTTTTTCAAATCTTACCGGTGTTTATTTACTTTTATTTTCTTATTTTTATTTTCTTATTTTCTCTTTTTCTTATGGAAATCCTTGTTTTTAAATGCAAATCCTCCCGAAATTTCCCCCGAAATGTGCCCTTTTTCTTTGTTTTATGGGTTTTCATGCAAATAAAGATTTGAAATTAAGAAAAGTTACAAAAGTGAATAAAGATTTACATGACATTGACATTTAAAGACTTTACAATAGTTCAGTAATTACTTTAGAGTAATCCAGTAATTACTTTAGAGTAACCCAGTAATTACTTTAGAGTAACCCAGTAATGACTTTAGAGTAACCCAGTAATTACTTTAGAATAACCCAGTAATTACTTAACTTGGTTGAGCTGGTTAGCGTCCCGTCTACAAAACGACTCTAAAGGGATGTCGGGTTCGATTCCCGCTCATTCCAAACATTTTTTTTGCTTTAAATCTTTTCAAGCATGGAGATGAAGTATGCAAATTTGAGTTGTTTCGCAAGGTATTAGGTTTCGCAAGGTTACAGGGATCTTAGTGGGGCGCGAGGCGCGACATTAGTCACGTCGAGTATAGATGTCAGTGATGCCAGTATAGTTGTCGGCGATGCCAGTATAGATGTCGGCGATGCCAGTATAGATGTCAGTGATGCCAGTATAGATGTCGGCGATGCCAGTATAGATGTCAGTGATGCCAGTATAGATGTCGGCGATGCCAGTGTAGATGTCAGTGATGCCAGTATAGATGTCGGCGATGCCAGTGTAGATGTCAGTGATGCCAGTATAGATGTCGGCGATGCCAGTGTAGATGTCAGTGATGCCAGTATAGATGTCGGCGATGCCAGTATAGATGTCGGTGATGCTTCGGTGGGTATCAGGGTTGGTCTCGGATATTGAGAAGGATTTAGAGGATAGATTCCAGTATTAGAGATCTCGGTGGGAGCGTAGAAGAGTGGGAATTTAGCATGTACCTTTATGTCATCTACTATATATAAAATATATAAAGAGAAGTGTGAAAACCCCTCCTTTAACTCGAGAGATTAAACTATACTTTAGTCGCAGAACACCCAGCGAGAAAAACCCACCGTTAGATCGGTTTTTCAGCTGTTAGCTTTGTAATCGCCAATCGTGCTTGCGCTTCTCATTTTGCCAAGATGATTATGGCTTTCCCCTCAAGGGTTTCTCTTGAGAAATTCGATCTTAAAGATTTATGTATTAAAAGAAAACACTGCCTCATCGTGGTGATGAAATTGGATCGCTAATCACCAAAAAGATTTTCACAATAAATGAGAGACTCACGTTGATCTGTCGAAAAGAAATCATCATTCTAATTGGTTGGCAATCGTTTAAGACAAGTTTTAGGTTTCATTTTGCTGACATAAACTTAATTTTATTTGTGCTCGTGACTTGGAAACAGAAAATTCACTCATTGAACTTTTGGCTTTTCGATTCCCTTTTGCTGAGGATAAAGGAAGTGATGTTTGAGGCAAGAATCGTTTTTTTGCAAATCAAAAGTCTAAGCTATTCTTGTTAAAAGATTGTAAAGGGATTAAAAGAACCATAAGCCAGTTCTGTTCTGTGGATAGGCCAGTTCTGTTTCTTTTTAATCTTTCAAGCACGAATAGAAGTGAGTATGTCACATTCAATATCATTTTAATAATAAAGTAAGATTTTGAATGATGTAAGCTGTTAAGAGTACGACAATGGATACTCAAATCTCCCATCAAGTTCACAAAAGTCAAAGCAAACAAAAGCTCAAGTTGCTTCTTAAGGAAATGGATCAAATGCCTCAATCCTTCTCAATCCAATGCCTCAATCCTTCTCAATCCAATGCCCCAATCCAATGCCTCAATCCTCCTCAATCCAATGCCTCAATCCTTCTCGATCCAATGCCTCAATCCTTCTCGATCCAATGCCCCAATCCAATGTCTCAATTCTTCTCAATTCTCTTGCCTCAATCCTCCTCAATCCAATGCCAATCAACCCTTCTCACATTGTTGATAAAACCAGATCACTTGTCATGTTAGAGCTTTGAATAGATTTTCGATCCAACGCCTTTTTCTCATGATCAGATATGAAGTTTTTCACTATTAGCTGTCTCAATCAGATAGATAATCAATCTTTGTATTCACTTTCTTCTCTTAATCTATTCTATTTTAAATTGAATTGTTTATATGAAGACTTTAATACTTAATTTATTCATTTTATTGGTACAATCGAGTAAGTCTTAATGTTATAAAAGAATAATTTGATATAAAATTCCTTTTCAGAGCACCTCACCAAATACAGTATACCGGCTTTGGTAAGAAAAAGTTTTCTTTTCTCAAAAATTCTTATTAGGAGGAGACTTATGTTGGATTGAAGTTTTGCCCGATTCCTAAAACTGGTACCACTATCACGCATACGATTTTATGTGATATTTATCGAGAATACCGAGGAATTCCTTTTAAGAGACAATACTCTGCGAAAAAGACTGGAGACACGTACGTGAATTCAGAATTTTATCTTTTAAAGAAGCTTTTAAGAAGCTTTTAAGAAACTATTTCATGGTTTTTGAGAAATCTAATGATTTTTCTTTGCTTTTAAGTTTATTTAAAAGATTCATTTCATGTTTCAGAGTCTGTGAAAACAATCGTTTCTTCCCATACCGAAGAAAAGCTTTTTGGGCAAGACCAGCGACACCAATAAAATTCACATTAGTCCGTGATCCTGTTCAACGATTTGTCTCACTTTATGAACATTTCTGCGAGTAAGTTTTTGAAATTAAGTTAGAAGTTAGTTGGAAGTTAGTTATGAAGTTGAGTTAGAAGTTAGTTATGAAGCTGAGTTAGAAGTTAATTATGAAGTTAAGATTGAAGTTAATTAGAAGTTGAGTTAGAAGTTAGTTATGAAGTTGAGTTCGAAGTTAGTTATGAAGTTGAGTTCGAAGTTAGTTATGAAGTTGAGTTCGAAGTTAGTTATGAAGTTGAGTTCGAAGTTAGTTATGAAGTTGAGTTCGAAGTTAGTTATGAAGTTAGGTTACCAAGTTATAAACAAGATAAGCTAATCTTACAATTAGCAAATAAACAAGTCATTTGACCATTAGAATTTGGGATTTTAGGCTAAAGGATCAAATCTTTTTATGAATAATATTATCATTTGAAATATTAGAAGTTATCAAGAGATTTATCATGCATATATTGGAAATCAATGAAGTTAGAAACTGGAGATAAGCTAGCTACAAGAAACTAGAAACTGGAGACACGCTAGCTAGAAGAAACTAAAGATAAGCTAGCTACAAGAAACTAGAAACTGAAGATACGCTAGCTAAAAGAAACTAGAGACTGGAGATAAGCTAGCTACAAGAAACTAGAAGCTGAAGATAAGCTAGCTACAAGGAACTAGAAGCTGAAGATAGCTACAAACGTGATAGAAAATTGGGTTAAATTAGATAGAACAGATTCTTTACAGAAAACATTCATACATTCTCATAATAAACTATTTTAGCCGTCTGAAAGCTTGCAAAGGCAGAGATATTCATCATTTCGCTAAATGGATCAACAATGTCCGCCATCATCGAGGAGCAAAGTGGAGAAAATATCGGAAAGCAAATCTCGACTATCGACTCATTGCTTATCATATGGTTCCACAAACAAAGTATTGTTTTATGAAAGAAAATCGTACAGATCAATGATTTAGTTTCTGTCAATTGGGGAGCAGAACAAAGTCTTTTTATATCATTCGATATTCGGATAATAAGACGGCAATGTATGGAGCGTTTATGCGACTTTTCAGAAAAGCACATATTCCATTGGGTGTAGCAAGAAGGGTAGGTTTTCGATATGTAAATGAAAATTGAATTTAATAGAACTTATCTGAAAGTAATAGATGCATTTTAGCATTTCTTTCCTCAAAATCTATCAATTATTTGTACAACGTGGTCCAAAATTATTCAAAATTATCGCAATTCCTTTTCCTTTACAGAAAAGTAACTAGAAAATGCTAAACTTCTTTCATAAGTGTCAAGTGTTTGATAGAGAATTGAAGCCCTTAATCTTAGCTTCATTTTTCTACTTAAAACTCTAAAATCAGAGTTATACAGCTTATTTTACAAGCTTTTAAATCTCGACTCGACCTCTCTCTACCGAAGTCTGATTTTTGATGATTTTTGATGACTTTTGATGAGAAGATCCCAGACGGGAGCTTATTCCAAACCCTACCAATACGGTTCGCAAGAGAATGATAAAGGGAAAGATGATGGGGATGAGAATCGACCGAAATTTGATAACGATGACTACTTGGTAATCTATTGACGGTTTTATTTTGCTTGTAAAATGAGCTATATAACTCTGATTTTCGAGTTGGTGCTAGAAAAATGAAGCTAAGATTAAGGACTTTAATTCTCTATCGAACACTTGACACTTATGAAAGAAGTTTGATATATTCTAGTTGCTTTTCTGTAAAGGAAAAGGAATTGCGATAATTTTGGACCAAACAGTGAACTGTTGAGAAGTGATTGATAAGGGAATCATTGAAAGTGTGCAAATTTAGACCGAAACTAATTGGTAATCTATTGATGATTTAATTTTGCTTGTAAAATGAGCTGTATAACTCTGATTCTGGAGTTGGTGCTAGAAAAATGAAGCTAAGATTAAGGGCTTCAATTCTCTATCGAACACTTGACACTTATGAAAGAAGTTTGACATTTTCTAGTTACTTTTCTGTAAAGGAAAATGAATTTGCGATAATTTTAGACTAAACAGTGAACTGTTGAAAAGTGATTGATAAGGGAATCATAGAAAGTGTGCAAATTTGGATCGAAAAAACTAATTGGTAATCTATTGATGGTTTGGTAAATTAATTGGTAACTAATTGGTAACTAATTGATAATTTTAGGCTCTTGGTCACTTGAGAAAATCAAGCACAAGACATGCTTCTCAAAATGAGAAACGAGCGACCCAATTGAAAGTCGAAATCGCGAAAACACCACATACTGTTGCCTTGATCAGAAGCATCTATAAAGAGGATTATAAGAAATTGAATTTTCCATGAGATAAAGTGATTATTATTTAGCACAGCACAGGTAATAGCACAGCTAAAAAGCAGAGAAAAAGCCATAGGATGATATCTCCGAAAATCTTTGCATAAAACAAAAACATTCGTTACTCCAAACTTTCACTATTTCATTTTCCTTTACGCTTTCGAAACTGAGCTCATAAACAAAAATTTAAACTTTTAAAACCTTTAAAACCTTTTTTGTAAAAACCTGCAAATAAAAAGTAAAATCAGAATAATCTTTAGCATATTTTTATTAACTGAATGAGAAAAACATTGAGATTTTTTGAAAAATAAACTCCCAGTTTTTCTAAAAGAATAATCGCTTTTCAAAACATAACTAAAAAGTACTTCTATTTTCTAGAAAATTAATCAATCAAAAGTTTTTATTTACTATTTTTTCGGCTTTTTTTTGAAACACTATCAGTTTTCCCATCAATATCTTCCTGTTTTTGATAAAATTGTTTACAGAAATGGAAATTTCAAGAAAACTCTCTAAAGCTTATCAAATTTCTAACTGAATTTCGACAGAATGTCTACAAAATTCAGTAATAAATGACGGCTTATGATAGGCTTTATTATGGGTGAACGTGGATCAACGTAGTGTACGTAGGTTCAACGTAGTGTACGTAGGTTCAACGTAGTGTACGTAGTGTACGTAGCTCCAACGTAGTGTACGTAGCTCCAACGTAGTGTACGTAGTGTACGTAAGTCCAACGTAGTGTACGTAGGTTCAACATGATGTACATAGGCTCAACGTAATGTACATAGGTTCAACGTAGTGTACGTAGTGTACGTAGGTCCAACGTAGTGTACGTAGCTCCAACGTAGTGTACGTAGGTTCAACGTAGTGTACGTAGGTTCAACATGATGTACATAGGCTCAACGTAATGTACATAGGTTCAACGTAGTGTACGTAGTGTACGTAGGTCCAACGTAGTGTACGTAGCTCCAACGTAGTGTACGTAGGTTCAACGTAGTGTACGTAGGTTCAACATAATGTACATAGGTTCAACGTAATGTACATAGGTTCAACGTAGTGTATGTAGGTTCAACGTAGTGTATGTAGGTTCAACGTAGTGTACGTAGGTCCAACCTAGTGTACATAGGTCCAACGTAGTGTACGTAGGTTCAACGTAGGCTTTCATTTTTCAAAAAAGGCTTAAGCCGTATACATATACACTTGTTAGATGAAAGACTACGACAACAGATTTGAAGCCTGAAAGATTTCAATCAAAAACTCTCATTGCTTCTTTATTTAATCCCCATTATCTCTAAAGTCTCAAAAAAAAACTCTTTTTTGTTGTTTTTTGCAAGTTTGTTGATCATAAATTTCCTCTCTCGTGCAAGTCAAGGTCGTTTTTAAAAAAACTGGGAGTTTATTTCCCAAAAAATCTCAATGTTTTTCTCATTCTATTGATAAAAATATGCTAAAGATTATTCTGATTTTACTTTTTATTAGCAGGTTTTTACAAAAAAGGTTTTAAAGGTTTTAAAAGTTTAAATTTTTAGTGTACGAGCTCAGTATGACTACAGAGGACGGGACTATGTTCGACAAAAAGCAGAGAGACTGATCTTTGGATTGGCAATGGTTAGTTTTGTTTGGATAATTGTCGTTTTGCGATTTATTTCTCTCATTTTATGTTTAACAGATTCCCCAAATACTATTCCTTTTTTTGGTTGAATGCATTGAAAAGCCCGGGGTTTTTCAAATGATTCTAAAACCCAAAATGAGATTTGATAGATACTTTATTCAGGACAATGAAGTGCGCTAGATTTAAGAATATCATTTAAGAACATAAACACGAAGAGAGCTGATAAAAAGCAACACGATATAATATATGTAATATATAGGTAGCCCAGATAATGTCAAGGATCCACTAGATCCACAACAATCCACGTCAACAATCCACTAGAGCTCTACAGATAATCCACTAGAGCTTCAAGATCATCTACAGATCATTTTAAAGCTTTCGAGACTATTGGACTCTCTCAAAACTCTGGGAGGTCGATTCCAAATTCTGACAGTTCTTATTGGAAAAGAGTTATACAAAAACTTATTGGAGGTGACTGGAATTTCTAAAACGAAAGAACGAAACGAAAGAACGACTCCTTGAAAAACCGTGGGATTAATTTTGAATAAATCTCGAAAAAGAGGGATAGGTTGTCTGCGTTTTACAATTTTGAAACATTCTATTAAATCATTCTATTAATGATCTAATGATCTAATGAACTAATGATCTAATGTTCTAACAATCTAACAATCTAATAACCTAGTGTTCTAATGATCTAACAATCTAATAACCCAATGATCTAATGAACTAATGATCTAATGATCTAATGATTTAACAAACTAATGATCTAATAATCTAATGAACTAATGATCCAGTGATCTAATAGCCTAATGATCTAATGTTCTAATGATCTAATAATCTAATGAACTAATGTTCTAATGTTCTAACAAACTAATGATCTAATGAACTAATGAACTAATGATCTAATGATCTAATAACCAAATGATCTAATGTTCTAATGGTCTAATGAACTAGATGTAAGATTAATACACATCAATTCATACACATAACACGAAAAGAGCCAATAAAAAGCAGCACGATATAATGTATGTAATATATGGGTAGCACAGATAACATCAACAATCCACTAGAGCTTCAAGATCAAGATCAAGATCATCTACAGATCATTTTAAAGATTTCGAGACTATTGAACCCTCTCAAAACTCTGGGGAGTCGATTCCAAATTCTCTGACTTATCTTTGGATTAGCAATGGTTCGTTTTGTTGGATAATTGTCGTTTTGCGATTTATTTCATTCATGATTTATGTTTACCAGATTCCCAGATACTATTCAAATCTTTGTACTCAGACAGCTGAATTCGAAATTGAATTGTTTACCTTAATTGCAGATCTGATTTAAGCCAAATTTCCACTATGATCTAGCTTAATCGTAAGCTTTCGTAGCTCTTTATGACTCTTAACTAGACATGTCTATCAAGAATTATCAATCTTATCAAGCATCTTTGATTGATAACGATTTTTAGTTGATAACGATAAGATTTGTAGAGACTGCTTTTGCAAACTGATTATCAAAATGAAGCTAGAAGAAAGGGCTTTCATTTGTAAAAAGATTTAAGCCGTATACATACCCTACTGGACAATGAAATATGATATTTGAAAAACGATCGTCACTTTCGCTGTAACTCCCTTGTCTCCTCTGTAACTCCCTTGTCTTTACCGTATTTCTAAATATTAATATTACCATTGTATAGCCGTTGAAAAGAGCTTTCAGAAAATGTATAACACTAATATTGGGTTGTCCAGTTATGAATGCGCGTTTTTTACTATTTTGTAAATTTCTCAAGATACCAAAATCAAGAAAAAGATATATATGAGTATTATTCGGAAGCTGAAGATCTCCTCTACATTTTAATATAAAAAGTTTTTTGAATTTGTTCAGCTTTTGGGAAAAATTGACTGCACAGAAGAAGAGGTGGCCAAAAAATGGAAGGGTGCCTTTGGATCAAGTTTTGGCTCCGCTCAAATTAAGTTAACCGTTTGATGTTTGGCCAATAGATATATCAATACAACTTTTTTAAAATATAACAATTTTAGAGCATCTTTACTTTTCTTTTCTTTTCTGGGCGTTTATTTTACACCATAAAACTTGAGGAATAGCTAAGCTGAAATGGGTTTTTTTTCGAAAACGACCTCTCCCTTTGTGCAGTCAATTTCCCAAAAAGTTGAATGAATTCCAAAACATTTTTATTCCAAAATGTAGAAGAGATCTTCAGCTTTCGAATGATGTATAACACTCATATACATCTGTTCGATATCTTGAGAAATTTACAAAATAGTAAAAACGCGCATTCATAACTGGACAACCCAATAGTTTAAACTCAAAGACAAGGGAGTTACAGACGCGCAAAAGTGACGATCGTTTTTCAAATATCATATTTCATTGTCCAGTAGTGTATACACTTGTTAGGTGAAAGACAACGACATGTATCGCATCATGGACGAGGCATTGGCAGCCGGTTATCGGACCTTTGATACAGCGCAAATGTACGGTAAATTCATCAACAACTAGCAGCTAATCCCATCAAATCAAGGAAACGAAGCTGCTGTCGGTGAAGCTCTGAATACTTTGTTGCCAAAATATCGACTAAACAGGTTGATTTCTAAAAAACTTATGTCCAACAAAACTTATGTCCATCAAAACAAAGCAAAATCCAGGCAAGATGTCTTTGTGGTCTCAAAAGTACAACCACCAAATCAAGGAGACAGAGCAGATCCTTCAATCGTCGAGTTTTTTTGCAATTCTTTGAGTTTCTTTTCATTTTTTAGCTAGATCATTACGGAAATTAAACCTTGGTTACATTGATCTCATGCTGATTCATTGGCCAAATGCGAGTCCTGATAACCCAAGAAATCCCTATCATCATCGAATGGAAAGGAGGAAGACATGGATGGCTTTGGAAAAGTATTATGGTAAGGATTGACGAGGATTGACAAGGATTGACAAGGATTTTCTTTTAGATTACAAGAATTCTTTTCTTTTAGATTAGGCTACAAGATTCTCCTTCTCTTTTAGATCATTTCTTCAACTTTTCGTAGCTTTTTATGACTCTATTTCTATTTCTATTTCTATTTCTTATACTATTTCCTATTCTACTTCTTATTCTTCTATTTCTTCTTATCCTTCTTCTATTTCTTCCTCTTCTTCTTCTATTTTTTCTTATCCTTCTTCTATTTCTTATTCTACTATTTCTTATACTCTTATACAACTATTAATAACAGCTAGTGCAATCACAGACCTCACGCAAATAACTCATGATAACTCGAAATCTAAAAAAGTTATTTAAAAAAGGTAATCAGATTTAAATTCTGTGAAAAATTAGCTATCTTTAGGCTATAAAAAGTTATGAAAATAATAACAATTAGAGAGAATTCAAGGAAAGAGAAGCCAGAACTTTTGCCG